CTGTAGTTTTTTTTCTTTTTTTTTTGTATCTTCGGGAAGGGTCTAAGGGTGTTCAGGGTCTCACTACTAGATTGGACTTGTAGTGATCCACCTGTTTACAGCCTCCCAAGAGCTGGGATTACAGGCACGCACCACCACACCCAGTCTTAATTACCATCTCAGTGTGCTCATGGGGCAGGGCTGGCAGGGCAGGCCCAGGGAATCAAACCCCCGGCCTCTGTGCCTGCTTGTAGGCACTTTATTTGGTTCGCTTTTTGAAATATAGTTCAGACTGGCCTTGAACTCATTGTGAAGCCCAGGCTTGCAGTGATCATCCTGCCTTAGCCTCCTGAGTGCTTTCAATACCATTGTGCCTGACAGTTTCTCAATAGTGGGGTTAGACTGGGTGCTATCCCATATCCTTTGTTGTGTGGGGTGCCATTGGTCCATTGAAATTGGGCTATTCTTTAGGTGAAAGTCCCAAGGGCAACTCATGGCCCTGTACTAAATAGTTCACATTCACTTATAGGAGCTAAAAATGTATAAAAGCCAAGTGTGAATACATTCTCTTTGTAGCTCCATAAAGCCTGTGGTCTCAGGAACTGTGATGCTTTCAACTTGATACAGCTATGAAAAGGTTCTCACAACTCCAATAGATCTTCACATGTAGAAAGGACATTCCAGAGATTTGAGCCCAATTCTAAACCTTTGTCCACTTTTGCTGTATCCTTTGCTTCCTACATGGAGTAGAGATGCATTTTGATGATTTATTATCTTTGATGGATTTGGGCTATGGCTTATAAAGAGTAAAACTTACAGTAGGCACATAAAGAGCAGTCTACTATCACATGATCTTATATTCTTACTGGTTTTTCTAGGTACCTTTTTCTTTTCTTTCTTTTTTTTTTTTTTTTTTTTTTTCTATTTAACTGGGGATCAAACTCAGGACCTTGCACTGGCCAGGCAGGTGCTTATGCCACTGAGTATCTCCCCTGCCCTTGTAGATACCTTTATATATCATAAAAATATATACAACTTAAGTAAAATGTGAAGAGTAATTACAGGTCCATCCCCATTATGTCTACTCCTCAGGTTAGCAAATAGAGCTAGCATACCAGCACCCAAGAGACCCCCTGTGTACCCTCCCAGATCACAGCCTTCTACTTCTTCCCTAGAGGTAAACACCATACTTAATTGTTTATTTATGTGTTGGCTATTCTTGCAGTGCTGGGGTCAAACCCAGAGTCTCATGCATGCCAGGCAAGTGCTTTACCACTGAGCTATATCCCTAGCCCCCTATGATTTTTCAGATAAGCATTTTTTTTTTTGTTTTGTTTTACTCTGCAGTTTTCCCACCTAAGTGCTTATACCCAAACAATGTAGTTTAGTTCTGCCTGTTCCCAAATTTTAGGTAAATTTAAGTGCAAGTACTCGATATACTGTTTTGTGCTTTCCTTCTTTTCTTGTGTTTTATTTATGATGCCTATCAATAATGTGGTAGATAACTATAGTTCCTTTTCCTTTTTATTTTTCTGCTGTATAATACATGGATTTATTTACCCACCCAACTGCTGACAGATATTGGGCTCTTTACAATTTTAGGTTCTTACAGACCGTACTGTGCTGAGCATTCTTGTGTGTCTCCTGGGTCACATGTATAGCTTTTCTGGGTACATACCTAAAATTATCACTGTAGGTCAGCATGATGGGTATTTCAATCACTTTTGATTGTCAAACTTAATTTTCACTGGAGCTTCTAAGTCATACATTTCTAATGAAAATTTGAAGTCTTTGTTCTCATCTAAAAAGGTTTGTCTTTCCTGTAGAAAAATGCGAGAATGGCAGCAGAAAAGCATTATTCTAACAAACTAAAAGCACTAGGAATATCTGATGAGTTTGTTTCAAAGAAAGGCAAAAGTGGAAAAGTATTTGAGTACTTCAGCAATCAAGAGATGAAAAGTTTCACTGAAGATAAAGAAAGGTAACATATATAAGATGTCTGAATGGTTTACATTTGAAAAAATTCTTACCTGCAGGAAATCATGCTCATCTCTTAAAAGAAAAACAAAAACAGCTCTTACCTAAGGGAATGCAATATAAACTGTTGTAGAACATTGATATTTTACCATGTTTGATACAAAATATTACATGGTGATGAAGTATTTTGTTTTTAGAGCAGACTAGGTTTCTGGTTGACATAAATATTGAAAATAATGGCATGGTTACAAATGAAGTTTAAAGAGTCAGTCACTCAAGTTTCCAAATAAGGTAGTTCTCAGAAGAATATTTAAGTTCCCAATTGACTTTTTATTCATAGAGTTTTCTGTGATGACAAATTGGAACTTGAGGAAGACTGGCTACACCATGGTACACATTGCAAAGGGTCTGTATGCCTTTAAGTCAATTCATTTTTCCTTTGAAAGATTGATGAATTTCTTCCTCTAGCTTTAATGAAGAAAAAGTAGAAGAGAGAGAGAATGGGGAAGAAAATTATTTTATTGATACCAACAGTCAAGACTCTTGCAAGGATCAAGAGGAAGACAATGAAGAGAGTGGAGAAGTGTCTGGTGAAGGATAGAACGGCACCAGCAAGGCCTCCTCTCTGTGCCCTGCTACTGTGTGCAGCAGCTGTGCCTGTGCTGTGAGGACGTCCTTGTGCGCAGGGCCGGTGCACAAGGCTTACCGAGGAAGAAGGCTGAATCCAGCCAGTCAGGGATTTAATCAGTTAGAGTAATTCCCGGTTTTTTAAGAATTGCAACATATGGTTTTTTGCTACATTGATCTTGTATTTTTAAAGTGTTTGGAAAAAAAGTTTGAGAATCACAGCTGATACAACTGATTAGTTAGTATTGTATTTGTTGGGGAAGGGGGCTTAGAATTGAGAAGAGAGCTGGGAGTGGTGCTGCACACCTATAATCCCAGCACTTGTGAGGCTGAGGCAGGAGGATAACTGTGAGTTGAAGGCTGCTGGGGCTGTATAGCAAACAAAGCAAAGCAAAACAAAGAATTGAGAGGAAAGAGAAATATTTGACCTTTGGTGATTTATTTAAAAGTACAGTATTTCTAGAAAACATGAATCAATAAAGATTTTAAATTACATTGTTTGCCCATTCTTTTTCTTTGTAATACATTTCACAAAATGAATCTACAGATTCAACTGTTTGGAATTTTTTTTTTTTTTTTTTTATTTTTAGGGAAGGGTCTACAGGGTGTTCCTTTTTATTTTTCTGCTGTGTAATACGTGGATTTATTTACCCACCCAACTGTTGACGGATATTGGGCTCTTTACAATTTTAGGTTATTACAGACCGTACTGTGCTGAGCATTCTTGTGTGTCTCCTGGGGCACTAGATTGGACTCCTAGTGTTTACAGCCTCCCAAGAGCAGGGATTATAGGCATGTGCCACCATGCCCAGTCTCAATTGCTGTCTCAGCATGTCTCAGGGGTGGGGCCATCAGTGCAGGCCGGGGGGATTGAATCCCAGCCCCTGCACCTGCTTGCAGGTGCTTTAATCTGCTGAGCTATTTGGCCTGCCCTTTGGGCTGTTGGATTTTTAAAGTTTCTTATCAGAATCACTTTTTAAATAACTGAGCTAACCTGCAAGCCCTCTAGAACCACTCTTAAGAAAGTACAGTGGTACCTCAGTTCACAAATTTAACTGATTCCACAGTTCTGGAGAAGATGGCAGTGGCAGTGTTCATCACCCAATGTGGATCTTGTGGATAGAAGCAGAATTTTGCTTATCAACCAAAACGAGGCATTGCTGTTATTTTATTTTATTTTTTTTCTTTTGGTACTGTGGATTAAATTTAGGACCTTGTGCTTGCCTGGCAAATGCTTATGCCACTGAGCTATCTCCCCAGCCACAACATTGCTGTAATTAAATGTGGAAAAATAGGTACAAATTTGCACTAATTTCCACACTGATAATTTACATTGGACTGTTGCCATTTTTTCCCTCTGTCCCTAGTCTTAATCACTTTATTTTATTTTAGGTGTGGGGACTGAGCTGCGGTCTCATGGGTGCTGAGTAAGCTCTCCATGAGCCACCCCTTCATTTTCCCAATTTATTTCTGATACAGTATTAGAAAATTTTTTTTTCAAAATTTAAAAAAAAATTTTATTGATAAACAGATAGCAATGAGACAGTTTCACATCAAATCAGAAGTATAGTTTCAACAAATAATACACTGCATATATTCTTCTTAGTGGTTAATTGCTGTACAAGATGCGGACTT